GAGCAGTGAGCAGCTGGTTGTGAGAAGGTGGGTGTGCCTCGAGACACATTCTACCTCTGCTGCGTCGCTCGGTCTTGGAGGCACGATGCTGTTACGACACGCAGCTGTTCGCGGTGCGGCTGCTCGAGCTGCTAGCATCAGGGGCGCTGCTTGTGGGGTGAGTGGTCACGCAGCAAGGGCTGGTGTACATACGTGTCTCAAGATTCCACGTTCCGAACGTCTCCAACGGGCGGAGACTTGTCGTCGCTACTGCTTGCTGTGTGTACCTGAACTCTGCGCCCACAAACCAGCGTGCACGCGGACACAGCCTGTCTCTTTCGCCTCTCTCACACGCCCATCTCAAGCAGTGCACGCCGCTTTGATTTGTTAGACACAGTGTTTGAAGGGCGCATGTTGAACTGCTGTTGAACGCTCTCATCTGTTGGCGTGCTTCAACACCGCCACATGGTCTGTCCAGCAATGGTTGCGTTATCGCTGCAGCCGTTTCGTGGGTGCAATCACGCCGGCACGCCGGCAGCGCCTCGCCAGCTACTGCACTCACGTAGCGGCAACGGTGTTGGAGCTGATTTGCAACATCAGGCAATGTTGGAGTCAGAATGCAGTTTAACTGCTGGCCCTCTGTGTTCAGAATCGCACTTCCTCAACCGCCTGAAGTCACCGCTGTCTACATCGTGTGCGTAGATATCTCTCCTGACTGCTGCACCGCTGTAGCTGTAGATCAAAGCGGCACTGCCGTATCGTACGATAGTTAGTGCTGAACTCTTTCTGAACAAGGCAACCCCACATGACCACGAATTGTTGGGAAACTGTGATACACCAGTGCATTTCTCAGAATCTCGATATTCAGTACCGTAGACTAGTACCTCCGCCGAAACTCAGTTTTGTGTCATTAACAACCTGCTCTGCGGTTGCGGACGGATGCACCCACTACAGCAGGTGCTACATCCGGTCGGCTACGTAGCAGTGTATGTGCAGAGTTATCATCACCCAACAGTACCCCGCCGGGTCACGGTACAGCAGTCGAACAGCAACTCAGCTCATGCTTAGAGCGTCTCGTTGGGTGCTTCTGGGGGTTAACGTTATGCAAGTGTACTTGTCGAGGTGGCAGCACTTGCCACGAACACGAACACGCCGCACCACGAACATGTGCGACTGCCCTGCAGCATGTGTACTAGTGCTGTCGATAAAGGTCGCGACCCCCACCCCTATCCCGTGTGCGGGTTTGTGTGGGTGTGTGTATTCGTCCTATCTTTGCTGACCCCTGACACGTTTACGTGTAAGGTCAGACCGTACCAGCCGGGGTCAACATAGTATTTTGTGTAAGTCGAACACATATTTTTGTAGTGTGGTCCAACCTCTCGTCCTGCGGTATCACTTGCCTTTTGAAGTCTTGTTTGCCAGCAGGGTTCAGCCGCCCCTTTCTCTCTTGGAGGTGAAGACTCTCGAAACGCAGAAAACACTCCTCCAGAGAGAGAACCGAATCCACAACGCGCTACCTGTAGGTTTGCGAGGTTACCCACTACATTCGAGACGACCGGTTGATGCCATATTTTACCCCTTTCCCTGCTGCATTCCCACCCAATCCCCCTCCTTCCCATCTTGAGACACCCCTATCCCCCCTTTGCTATCCGTGTTGGCAGTTTTTGCCCGTCGGCGGCAACGACTCAAACGGCCAAGCGCTCTCTCAAGCCCCTCGGCGCTCGGCGCGCCGCCGCCCTCTCTCTACGGAGGCCAACCCACCCCAACAACAACCAACGCGAGATCGAGAGCCCCCGCCCCCGCCGCCGCGCCCGCCCCCTCCCACGCCTTACAAGAGTGGACCGTTCGTCGATAGCGGAGGCGGCGGCGGCATCGAAGCCCGGGGTGATGCGGCCGCTGCTACGGCTGCAACGGGGGTGACGGTGGGCACGACCGGCGGCACCGACGGGGGAGGCGAGAACCCTGTCGACCTGCTATTTCAGCCCTGCGATGACCATCTCGAAAATGGCGGCAGCAACCCTGCTGCTGCTGCTGGTGCTGTTGGGAGTGTTGGGACCTCTTTGGACGATGCCTGGAAAATCAACGACAGCAACAGCAGCGATGCAGGAGGGCTGCTGAGGACGCCGGCGGACTCCACCGCTCCACTGAATGATGGCGTAGGGGCGGGGGCGCAAAATTCTCCAGAAAGTCAGCCTGAGGCAGCGCGCCCGGGGGATGAGAGGGCGCACAAGATTTGGGTTACTGGGGACGGCGTTGGCGACAGCGTCTCAGGTGAGAAAACGTGGCTTTGGTTGTTGCTTCCCCTTCGTCGATGCCGCTGTTGCTGCTGTCGCCTTGCTGTTGTTGATGATGTTGTTGCTAGCAGTCGTCGTCGTCGTCGCAGCCGCCGTCGTTGGTGTTGTCTCCAGTCCAGGAACGCGGCAACACCATCAGGGAAAAGCGCAAGCGCAACGACCGTTGGGGTGTGTTCTGAGCTTCCAGCGCTCTCGAGTTCAAAATCCGACACGTTCGTCGTTCACACACACGCACGCGCGTCGCAAGTAGGTAGGAACGACTGGCCACCGTGATCGGTCCTGTGGGAACAATGTTCCGTCCTGACGCATGCAAAACATGAGTTCGTCCCCCCCCCTCCCCCCCCCCCCCCCCCC